CCCCTCTTTCCAGAAAATAATAGTCAATTTTTTATTTGATTATTATTTGTTTTCTACCAACGGTACCAACAGCTTTTTCATTAATAGATTAAATTTGGATAAAAAATTCGTAAAGAGAAGTTAAAATGCAAGGGTAAATATGAAGCTTGTATGAGATAGACGGTTTTAACATTTCAGATAAAGATATTGATCTGATAACAACAAAACAGATAAGTTTTAAAATAGTTGTATTGTTTAAAGAAACGATCGACATCATCTCATCTACCCACACCTCTATTAATTATAACGAGTCTATTTAATAAATTTCAAACTCCTATGATAAATAAGTAGTTGCAAGATAATTCAACCTAGTTTGGTGTCTCTTGGAGTTGCAGAGGAATTGAGATTGCATTAGTTTAATAAAACCCACATTTAAAAATTGAATTTTGACCAGAAATACGAGTGCTTGCCGGGCCAAATTGCCAAGTCTCCAGGACCCAAAAATAAAAATAAAAAATCCTGGTGGATACTGCCCAGCAACAAGAACCAATGTTTTCGTCTGCAAGTTTACAGACATTATAAATGAATATTAGCCTACATGTACATTTCTGTGGGTCACAGGAGTGAAGTTTGAGAACAATGATCCTGGATCGAATTTCATCATCGGTAATGTGGGAGCAACTTCTCAAAGTGAGGACAACTCTTTATGCGCAATAAACAAATGTGCAATCTTTGTGTTCAGCTGAGTTACTATGACTTACATCCTCCAATACTTTATCGAACCGGGACGCACGTATAAACTCTTGGAGTTAAGGATTCAAACTTTATTGACAATAAATGAATATTAAAATAAAAGAATAGTTTTGATTAAACCCCATCTACCTAAATGAATCATTAACTGTAGTCCTCGAGCCACATAAAGCCCCCCCTAATCTGTTCATTATCTACCGCGGGTCAACGTGTTCAGACACCACCAACCATCCACCTTTTCCCAACTGTCGTCCACAGACAAAATCTTGAATCTTAATCTCTGGAACGTAGGACAAATGGACAATTAGGCAGATAATTGGGTGATTATGTTGCCTTCTTAGCTAACCCATATTTAATTAAAATCCCATTTTTAATTGGGCATGTGAGTGATGATGAAGCAGCGACACTCCGCGGCGGGCCGGGCCTGCAGAGGTTGTCGTGCTTGGCGTTAATTTTTTCTTTCGGAATATGATTAGACCAAAAGACCAACGTACGGAGGGAGGCTTAGATAGAATACATTTTTATAAAGAGACACAAGATCCCTAGCATTTACATATCGATGCATTTGTCTAGCCCTGCCCTTTTGTCGCTAATTGTTTTTTTCCTTATCTATTGTTTTCCCATTACTTTCATTTTCATCCCACCCATACATGCCCTTCCCTTGCCCTTGTGCATGTCTTTTATTTAATTTACGGGTTTTATTGACCACCGGAGTAGTCAAACGACGTGACAATACAATTAGAAAATTGAGACAGTGAATGCTGGAAAATTATTTTCTCTATTGCTCTTATATGCATGTAAAGCTTAACATTTTTCGAGGTGTTCTAGACTCATTTATACAAAAACTAAGTGACCTAAAATAGGCAACCCTAACTTGCCATAAATACAACTGAGTTTCTTTCCTAAATACAATTGATCTACTTTCTTTATAGCCTCCATGTTTCCTGCCGCCTTCCACAAGATATGCTTCCCAAATCTCCTTTGGATTCGACCGTATCCTCTGCATTTGTCAGAGTCCTCCTTGGAATCGACAAATCTCCCCTTCGGCAGACTGAATCGTTTAGTCGTTCCTTCGCTCACCCACGCTCCGAGTGTGACTCCTCTGACCACTCGGCCTCCTACCATCTGTCAAGCAAGTTTCTGCTTAGTCGGCACTCTCCCCGAGTATTTACCCTTGGGACTCCGTTCCTCGACCACTCCTCCGACTATTGGCATCGCTCGTCCGGTTCCCGACTGGTTATCCCAACCGTCTTATCGACTGCCCATGAGATCCATCCGGCCACCTGACTGGCTGAACCCATTTGCCATCTAGTTATTAAACTGGCTGCCTAAAGGTCTCTCATGTCCACTCGAATGACTGCCTGCAGCTTCCATCCGGCTCCCCCGCTCTAAAGGGCTCATTTGGCTCCCTAGTTGACTAAGTCGACCATTCTCCTTCCCCATCTGATTATGTCGAGCATCCTACGGCTAGACTGGATGACTCTACCACTATGTCCCGGCTGACTGCCTACCTTCCGTCCTTGTTGACGCCCCCACCCTTGCACCTCTGACCGACTAGGTAGCATTCTGACTAGTATTTTACCTTCTGCACTCTTCCTCCTAACATCCAAGGAGGATTTCACAATTATTTTTACAAAAATAAAAGTGAACCGATCACACACTGTATCCACAAAGCATTGTTAGTTGATCACAATAGTGTTCCTTCGATTTGGATGTTTCCTCCAATCTTCAACACTTAATCTTCACTCCAAAGGTCAGCTACAAAGTCGCCTTGAGCAACAAATCACCAACCACAACTTCAAAGACTGCGATTGATTTTGTCTTTATAGATAGAGTAGATAGTGAATCTGGATGATTCACACTAAATATAGATTATGATGGGATGGGCATTCACCCAGTCGGATTAGGTAGCAGATAAGACATGGAGATCTCTCTCTCAACCTCTTTATTTTATGCTCTTTATTTTCAATTGATCGAATTAGTAACACACGAGAACACATCTAAGCTAATTTAAAAATTAAAACACGATATTAATTTTTTAAAAGTAAAATAGTGATATCACAACATGACAAAAGTTAAGTTGTCATTAATTGTACTAGTATTTTCATTCATGCATTACACAAAATTGATTTGTTATAATATTTTAATAATATTTACATCGATATAAAATTATATAAATTATAATTATAATAATGAATATTATATAGTGTAATTGATGAAATGAGTTGGATAGATTATGTTTTCTTATGTTATCCTTGCTTGATTTCGATTTATACAATTTATTTAATTAACATTTATAAACTTAGTTGACAAATAGGTCTAACATTTCTCATCCGGACAACTTAAACAATGCAAATGTCCAATGGTTTGTCTCAACATTTTCATGAATATATTATTAATACTATTGAACACCATGAACTGTTCAATGGTTACTGTATTGAACACCATGAGTTGTTCTTATAAATGCATAACATTAACTAGACAAATTAAGCTAAACAAATATCTCAAATGATACACTTCAAACTTAATTATTATATTGTATATATATTTTGGTTTCACTTAGATATATTCACTTTGTCATTTCCAAAAATTCAAACTTAATTATTATATTGTATATATATATTTTGGTTTCACTTAGATATATTCACTTTGACACTTCCAAAATGTAAAATTATAATAAATGTGGCAGTATCATTTACTTCAATTCACTGAAAATAAAAGATAGCAACTTCATGTTGACAATCTTTTTATAAGTCTGTGAGACAGCTGATCTGGAGATTTAAGGCTCCTCCATACTCAAAGCGAAGGATAAAACCCTTAACTTTTGATTAAGGATGGACGAGTCCCTTTCACTCAACCACACCCTCAAGTTGGTATAGATTCCATTGAGTACCAATGAAATATACAAATTGGAACATGCACAAAAATTCAATTATAAAACAAATCATTGAGCTTGCGATATATGGTTCTAAAATAAGTCTATAAATGTAATATGTAGATAATCTGTCTTAATTAATATCAATTGTTTAAATGTTTAATATTGTTGTTTATAATTTTTTGTCATTAATTATATTGGGTTTTAAAACCTTATGTAATAATTAGATTATATTTATAAATAAATTATAATTTATTATAGGACTATTATATTGAGAAAAAAATTAAAAAATCCTATTTTTTTTTAATGTTACTGACTCTATTACAATGTAGTATCTGTTCATATTTTCTCAACCCACTGAAATACAAAGAGTCAATAACGCCTCCACTGAGGCTCGAACTCACAACCTCTCATATGGGAGTCCAAAAATCCTACTTAATCATTACGTTTACGTGTACTAATAATTCATTAATAAGTAGAGGACATTCTTGTTCTCACATATTCAGTTGAAAGGCTGACACTATTATTAATTTTTAATGAAAATGTTTACACCTAAATTTTAGTCAAAAAATTATAGTATTGGTCAACCCCACCAAAATCTTGAAGTGATCACTTCAAAGTTCAATTATCTTTCTTTGATTCGACTTATAAAGATTAAAGACACAAGAACAAATTAATGGATTATAGGATCCACGAAAAAGTACTAACAAAGCAGAAAACTTTTATTTATTTTTATTTTTATATTTAATATTTAATGATAAGCAAGAATATTGCTAATAATGCATACACGTGAAGCATTAATTACTTCATCTCATTTTGTTTTATTAACATTCTGGAATATGTACACTCACGTAATATGCTAAATGCTCCTTCAATGTTTCAACTATTATGCCTTTTAAAAAGAGGATACTTCTCATTCATTTATATCAAGATCTATTAATAATATTCCCCTTCTTTTTAATTCGGTCACCATACATTTTATATAGGTATAATGTACTATGCATCAAATCTTTTGTTTATATTACAGAGTATTTAATATAATTGTATTTAGAAGTTGTTATTGTATTGATTCTTTCTTTTTTATTCCGTGGAATCTTTATTATATTTATTTTGTTAACACTTGTTCCTTAGGGTAGGATAGGGTTGAATTCTTACCATGAACATTGAGGATTTGAGTTTAGGTTGAGCTATATGTGTGCAAAAGTGTACTGTTTGGTGTTGAGTCTTGAAGTTAGGTTGACTAAATTTGATGAGATTGTTATTTCTGTTTTATTGAACAACTTAAACTAGTACAAGAATATATACAAAGGATATTAATTTTGAAGAGATAAAATATAACTAGGACTATAGTGAGAGATATAATATAACTAGGACTATGGAGTCCTAACACTCATCCTCAAGCGCAAGGGTCACGATTGACAACTTGAAGCTTGTCACGTAGAAAAACAAACCGAGAAGCTGTAAGAGGTTTGATAAAGATATCAACCATCCGATCCTGGGTGGAGATAAAGTTGACCAAAAGTTCCCCCTTAGTCGCCTTGTACCGAACAAAGTGATAATCAATTTCAACGTGCTTAGTCCGGGTATGAAAAACCAGATTAGTACACATGTAAGTAGCACACATATTATCACACGACCGCTTCGGAGGAGACGCAGAGATACCTAGCTCACGCAGCAAAGACATAACCCAAGTGACCTCAACAGAGACATTAGTCGGCGCTTTGTATTCTGCCTTAATGGATGACCTAGCAACGTAACATTCCATTGTTTCTTGAACACCCAGGATACCAAATTTGAACCCAAAAACACAGCGAAACCACTTGTCGACTTAGATCAGCCGCACACATGGCCCAATCTGAATATGAGAATACATGCAATTATGAAGAAACACACTTACGACGCAGCCGCAAAGCATAACTCAAAGTGCCTTTTACATACCTCAACACTTGCTTAAGCTGTGACCAATGGGCCTCAGTAGGCGCATGCATATGCTGACACAACAAATTCACTACATAGGAAAGGTTTGGTCTACTTACAGTCAAGTACTAAAGAGCACCTGCCAGACTCCTGTACTTCGTCAGATCAGCATAAGGAGCGCTGGAAACATCAGCCGAATGACTAACATGAACCGACATAGCTAGGGGCTTACAATCTACCATACCTACACGCTTTAAAATATCACACATATACCTCTTCTGAGAAAGCACCAAGCCACCATCATGAGCAACATTTTCAATGCCAAGGAAAAAACTAGGAGATCCAATATCACGAGTCTTAAACGCAACAGATAATTTCAGCAGAAGAGCATCAATTATAGATTGAATAATGCCCATAACCAAAATGTCATCAACATACAACAACAAATACACACGCGAGGCAGACTGAGCATAAATAAACAAAGAAAACATCGATCTTAGAAGCACAAAAAAACCGACAAAAAGTAAGAAACCATGTAACATGGTGAACCGTGCCCGATGAGCCTGTTTCAGCCCATACAGAGAACGCTGCAGTAGACATACATGATCAGGATAATCAGCATTAGTATAGCTAGGCAGCTGATGCATATAAACAGTCTCGGACAAACTGCCATTCAAAAATGCATTATGAACATCAAGTTGACGAACAATCCAGTCTGAGGAAACTACAAGAGCTAAAAAGAGGCGAACCATAGTCGGCTTAACAAATGGACTAAAGGTATCAAAAAGGTCTTGACCTGCAACCTGATTAAATCCTTTTACGACTAGCCAAGCCTTATGACGCTCAACTGAGCCATCAACTTTTCGTTTGGTACGAAAAACCCACTTGTAGCCCACAACATTAATGGCCAGCCGGTAAGGCACCAAACGCTATGTATTATTATGTAACAAGAGCATAAAACTCCATATCTATCAGCTCACGGCATTCAGGATAGCGAACTACCTGCGTATAATAAGTGGGATCAGGAGACCGTACCTCAATAGAAAGAACTACAGGAAAATTAGTAGTCACAACAGCTCTCTTCATGTGTCTCAACACCATGGGATGAGTACAAACAGTCGGCTGGCGCTGTGAGACAGTTCTATGAGACGGGCGTCGACCAGGTGTAGTCATAGACTCTGATGAAACATCAGTATATCGTACCAAGGCCCTAGAAACCGGTGCAACTAGCCATGGACTAGCAGAAGACAACCTCACCACACTTGTCAGCAAAGATCACTATCTAGCAAAAGGAAAAACAACTTCATCAAAACGAACATACCTACAGATAAATACCTTATTAGTAGTAAGGTCCATGCAACGATACCCTAAAGGACGCATGATAGCCTAGAAAGACACATGGAGCAAACCTAAAATCCATCTTATGACGATTATAAGGACGCATGAACAAATAACAGAAGCAACCAAAGGTGCATAGAAAAGAGTACGAAGGAAGGGAACGATGAATCATATAATGAGGACTAGAATTAGCCAATGTAGGCATTAGCATTCTATTAATCAAGTACACAGTGATCTCAAAGGAAAAATCACATAAACAAGAGGAAACTGAAGCCTGAGCCATAAGAGTGAGCTCGATCTCCACAATATGACAGAGACGATGCTCAACATGTCCATTATGCTCATGAGTATATGCGCAAGAACGACGGTAGGCAATACTGAGTTGAGCAAAAACCGAATGCAACTTTTTATATCCCTCAAGATAAGATTGGATAGATTTAATCTTACAAGAGAGAGTTTTCAACTAAAGCTCGAAAACGGCCAAACACCCCATACAGGTCAGATTTCAAACACAAAGGACAAAACTAGGTATAACGAGTAAAGTCATCCATAAATATCACAAAATAACGAAAACTAGTAGAAGATAGGGGAGGAGCAGGTCCCCAAATATTAGTACACACCAAATCCAAAACATGCTTACTATGAGTCTCAATTCTAGGTAAAGGGAAATGAAAGAATTTCCCTAATTGACAAGCATCACACAAAGAATTTAATTTAGCACTACTAGACGAACTAACTGGGCAATATTTTAATATTTGAACTTCAATATACGATGATGTGGATGACCGAAACTATTATGCTAGACCAAAGAATACGCACGAGCAGAGAGCAATGCAATTGGAACCGAACGAGGAATGGGCAACGTGTATAAACCTCCCGAGGTGGACCCCTTAAGCAGTACTCCTTGGTTACTAGATCTTTCACAACAAAGAAATTGGGATGAAACTCAAAAAACAATTTATTGTTAGACGCAAAACGCTGAACAGAAAGTAATGAGGCAAATAAACTAGGGACATGCAACACATCATACATAGAAAAAGACCTAGAGGGGGTAGAAAAAGAAGCATGACCAATACTAGTAATAGACAAACCTGCACTATTGCCAACGCGTAGAGTGTCACCCCCTAAATATTCATCCGAGGCCGAAAGAGCAGAAAGATATCGAGTAACGTGATTTGTTGCACCAGTATTCGGGAACCACAACTTGTGATCCAGAGAAGCATCACCAGAAGCCGCATGAACCGTCGCGATGTGAGTTTGAGGTGTTAGCACGTCACTATAGCGATGAAAACAGGAGACCGCTGAGTGACCCACGCTAGAGAAGATTTGACACCGGAGAGAGACTCCTCGACCACGACCGCCACGCCACCTACCACGACCACCTCGTTGGAAGTCAAATGAACGCCCATTAGGGCGAGCAACCATGGCAGCAGGCGCCTACAACAAGTCACAAACAGCCTAGGAGGAATAAAGTCATCCGCATAAATGAATTCTTGAGCTGCAAGATAATCCGAAAGCTTAAATAATGTCACCGGCGTACCATGAGTTATAAGGGAAGAAGTCATCGCCCGGAACTCCGATTGCAAGCCGCGAAAAACGTAAAGATTTTGCTCATCTAACGAAATCGGACATCCAGCAAGCGCAAGCTCCTCCACCAACACATGTACACGGTCCAAGTACTCAATTACCATTGCATCACCTTGCCAGAGTGATTATAGCTGCTCGAGGAGACGCAACACATGAGCTCGTGTGGAAGAACCTATAGACTACTTAATAGACTCCCAAACTTGTCTGGACGTTGTACGACTGAGGGCAAGATGCATGACTTCCTTGGACAAAGACGAAATTAGTATGGAGAGGATAGATTGATCCTGCTGCACCCGAGTCGTGTAAGCCAGACTAAGGACCGGAGCAGCGGCATCAACAATCGTGGGAAATGAACAGGGAAACGAACCATCAACGTAACCAAGAAGATTCTGACCCTGAAGAAATGGCACCAACTACGTTCGCCAGAAAAGAAAATTTCGAGTAGTCAGCTTGATAGACACAAAATGATGTGTCGTAGATAACGAAATAGGAGTTGCTAGCGGTGAAATGGCAGTGGCCTCAGAGACAGTCCTCTCAGAACTTACAGAGTTGCATGTCCTGCACCATTAGAGAAGTAAAACCCTAGTTGATACTATATGATAACATTATTTCTGTATTATTGAACAACTGATTCTAGTACAAGAATATATACAAAGGATATTAAAGAGATATAATATAACTAAGACTATGGAGTCCTAACAAATTTACCTCTTCATGGGTCAAGGGCGAGTTCATGTCCAAGGAATATAATTCAAAAAAGCCGGAAAAGCATTTGATTGGACATTTTTTTACTCTACTGTTGAATATGATTCCAATTATCATATTTATTTTTCTATTTTTGTTACCTAACTATTAAATTAAGATCCTTTTGAAATCGTAAAAGTCATCGATCTTCTCCTCCCATATTTGTATGTGTGTATATTATTATATATTTATTTATTTCCATTTTAATTTATTAATTAATTAATTAGATTATGATTATTGTTTACTATCTAATACAAAGACTAGTTTTATTAATATTTATTTCAATTACTGGGTTAAATTATACATAAAGGTGTGTATAAGATGCCGCAAGTGCCTTACAACTTAACTAGTATCTTTACCTTAAAATCTATGAGGGATAATTTAAGCCTCAATATGATCGGAACATTATAGGGTGATTTTTATATTGAAAAAATTATCTAATTTGTTTATGATGGGATTAATTATTTCACTGTTAACCAAAGATTCATAACATTTAACTACACAAAATTTGGTATGATAAACGTTTTCAATATTCTAATCGAATTGCCTTATTGGTAACATAGAGTAACCCAAGTATTTAACGTTATATTGTTACATCTTGAAAACATCATCCCATTTATTGGCATGGTATTCATTGAATTTTTTTTAATTTAATAATTGTTGGTGTATCCATACAGTGATAATACAATCCCAACCGATCTAGTCAGATACTTGATGACTTAGGCTCTGTTTGGCAAACCTAGCTGAAAAGCTATAAGCTAGGAGCTGAAAGCTGAAAAGGAGCTGAAAGTTGAAAAACTATAAGCTCGAAGCTGAAAACTGAAGAGCTCTTAAGCTAGCTGTTATGATTGGAAGTGTTTGGTAAAATTAGCTTTTTGATAAGCTGATAAATGTAAAAAGACTAAAAATGACATCTTCATAAAATTTAAATTAGTTTGTTTACATATTAGAATTTAACATTGTGTTTTTTTAAAAAAAAAATTAACATTTTAAAATAAAACTATTAGCATAATTATGATCTAGCATCTCATAATGAAGTAGCAATATTGTTGCAAATCTCATAATAATAATAATAATAATAATAATAATAATAATAATAATAATAATAATAATAATAATAATAATAATAATAATAATAATAATAATAATAATAATAATAATAATAATAATAATATTTATCGTGAAAGTTGCGGATAGAGGAGAAGAGAAAAGAATTTTAATTGGGAAGGGTAAATTATGTCATTTCTTTAAAATAATAAGGATAAATATGGAAAAAAAAGTTAAGAAGCTAGGAGCTTATTTTGAAACGTTACCTAAAGTAGCGTTTCAAAATAAGCTCTTATTTTAAGCTAGGAGCTTATTTTGGAAACATTACCAAACAGAGCTTTTAGCTTATTAGTAACTTAAAACAAGCTATAAGCTCCTAAATAAGCTCTGCCAAACAGAGCCTTAATAACCACAATAATTTAAGTTTAACTCCTTGTGGTCCGTTGTTAATTATTAAGGAATAAGGTTCAAATTGGCCACTAAACGTAACCTGAAAATGCAATTAGGCCACTGAACGAAAAAAAAGTGCAATTAGGCCACTGAACACTCCAAAAATGTGCAATTTCACCTGATAGCAGGTTACCCTCAATTTTAGCAGGTTATTTGCTTACGTGGCAGCTGAGTTGGCATTTTTAATAAATTTTAATTAATTTTTAATAAAGTTTAGTAATAAATTTTTATTACAAAAATTTTTTAAAAAATAAAAACGACTTTATTTTATTTTTTATTTAATTTTTTCCAATTTTTTATAAAATTTATTATTAAAATTAATTATTAAAAATTATTTAAAAATTATTAAAAATGCCAACTAAGCTGCCACGTAAGTAGGTAACCTGTTAAAATTGATGGTAACCTGCTATCCGGTAAAATTGCATACGTTTGGAGAGTTCAGTGGCCTAATTGCACATTTTTTGAGTGTTCAATGACCTAATTGCACTTTTTTTTTTCGTTCAGTGGCCTAATTGCATTTTCAAGTTACGTTCAGTGGCCAATTTGAACCTTATTCCAATTATTAATTAAGATCAAAAGGCAGACTTTATTCAGAATACACATTCAAATAATGACTATGAATTGTTTTTCATGATCCTTTAGTGACTACTGGCTAAAATTAAAAGACGAATTTCATCTAAATCACATTTTTAAATAGAGTTACGAACTTTTTCATAAATGAAAGACACTGAAAATATTCTTCCATAGTCGTATGGTCATTATCAACATCCTCAACCTCAACCTCAATCTCAACCGTTCTCCTTTTAGTAAGCTTTAGAACATCCGATCCCTTGCACTAAACACTATTCCCACGAATATAAAATGGATGGCATGCAGTTAGGGAGTACCCTAGCTACCTTAAGACAAATGCCTCGACACTAGGTCATTAAAGCTAAAAAACAAAAACCAAAAAAAAAAAACAAAAACAAAAACAAAAAAAAACAAAAACAAAAACAAAAACAAAAACAAAAAACAAAAACAAAACAAAAACAAAACAAAAACAAAAAGTTATTAGTTAAAATCTCGCAAAGAATAATCCTTAGCGATATAATTTTCATTGGAAGACAACCTTAATCAAGTAAAATTAATGTGCAAGTTACATAAATTTTAAATAATTCGATGATCAAATTGGTTGAAATTGAAAACTAAAAAATATATTAATATTTGGGAACAATTGAGGGGCTAACATGTTGATTTTCCCTTTAATTGTAGATTGTAGATTATATTTGAATTAAGGGTCAATGTGAAACCCTATAAAATGTTTTCTAGAAAATGATTTTCAGAAAATGGCTTACTTTTCAGAAATTATTTTAATTTTCTAGTATTTGGCAGTTAAAAAATTATTATTTTTTTTTCTGTTTGGCTGAAAGTTAAGAAATTACATTTTTTTCTGTTTGATTCATTTTCCTAAAAATGAATATATTGTTTGTTATAATAATAATAATAATAATAATAATAATAATAATAATAAGTGGTGACGGTGGTGGTAATAATAGTCCATAAACTAACCTGAATAGAGATGAGCAAGAAGAGAGATGGAAAAATAAGAAATCTGAAAAAATATCTCTCGAATAAAAATCTAGGAAGATATTTTCGGACAAATTGAGCATTATTCCATTGACTAGAATAAAATATTCTTTTCTTTTTCTATCCAAAAAATAAACTTTTCAGATTTCCAAATGGACCCTAAATATCCATAATCCTAAATTACATGCAATGTGTGTATAATACATATAATAGATATATTATATGTGTGTATATACCAATACTAGTTATAATGTGCACATTGCACGATTAAATTAATGTTCAACATGAAAATTAAAATAAGTAAATACTCAATACAAATTTTAAATAGGAAAATGCTCATCTTTGGTTCCTAAGTTATACCATAGTTCCAATTCAATCCCTTAGTTATGATCGTATTAATTGTTACCACTCAGTTATGAGTAAAGTGACGAGTTTGGTCCTTGACGTTAGGTTTCCGTCTCATCTTGACAGAAAACCCAAAAATCACATATTATTGAAGGGATAAAGTGAGAAATTCACATATTGTACTGTTCTCCTTCTTATATTGAAACCACTTCCGCAATATTATTTTCTACTTGCTAGCTTCTTATTTCAAGGTTCTTCAACTCTAAAAGTACGCATTTCAATAATCCTTGTATAACTTGTTAGGAATATGGGTCTCGTTTAAAGATTTCGAGACTCAGTACAAACAAGAAAATACTTGATCATCGTTTTTAGACGTGTAAAACACACTATTCTAAAAATTTCTGATTACCCTTATTTCGTAAACTCTGCAGAAAGTTAATCAAAAATTGTATATTCTAATAACAATATATATCTACTATCTACATCAGTGATCAGACATCATCCCGTCTGTCCTCTTACAAACTATCAGAGTAATAACTAATATAATAAACTCACTAAACAAACACGGCCAAAATAATAATTCTTCTCTTTTTCATGAATGCCTCAAAAACTTAATGAAGAAGTCCACTTAAATATAATAAAATAGGAAAAATTACAATTTTAGTTCTTAAATTATAGAATAATTCTAGAATTTGTCCTTAATTGTTGGTTTTACTCATTTTTCGTCCTTAAGTTTTCATTATTGTTGCACTTTCGTCCATTTACTAACAAAATGTTATGGACAAAAAGTGGGCATGAGAAGTTAATTTAGAGACGAAAAGTGAGTACGAGAAGTTGATAAAACGATGAAGAGTGCAACACCAATGATAACTTATGAACAAAAAGTAAGCAAGACCAATAATTAGGAACGCATTATACAATTATCCTATTTTAGAGACGAAAAATATAATAGAATCAGTAGCATTTAAAAAAAAGAGAAGAATAGTGTAATTTTTTTAATAAAATATTAAGTACCTTCTTAATATGTTCGTCTGTTCGCTTTTCTGTTCATCATTATTCACGACAACAACGTCCACTACTTTTTGATGGAAACTGAGATTAAAAGTAACATTAATACAAAACTAACCCACCTGTCCTGTAATAATTTGCATTTTAAGGATTTGTCCGTTGGTGCACAAATTAAAGAATATATAATTGATGTTACTTATGGAAAAAAATCTGGAAAAGGAACAAATAATGATTATAAAAAATATATATATATTAAATATTATGAAATGGATAGAAATCTTTAATTATTTAATTATTATTATTCTTCCCAAACTTTAATTATTATTATTAATTTATTAGTGTGGGTTTTAAATAGTTTATGGGTTTATTAATGTATTAAAAACATTTAAGTGGTTAGACTGTGATTGTGATTGACGTAATGATTCAAACACCATTCGAAAGGGCAAATCCATTGATTATGTTGTTTAAAAAAATTTTAAATTCTAAATCCGCATTAAAAGACAGATTTGCCTGGCTTCTTATATTGTAATTTTACATGCTTTTTACAACGTTAATTGAACAATTTGAACTGAATACTGATATAATCAAGTTGATAGCTAAATCTAAAAATATAATGTGTCATTTCATATTATGATTTTTGCTTTTTATTTTTTTGTCTCAAAATTGCACTCTAGGTGTAGCGTTGTTCATAGTTAACCAATTTAAACCAAAAAAATTAATAAATAATCCCTACAAAGAGTTTTGAATTTAGAACTTTGTGGTTAACAAATCAATTATTTGACTAACTCGGTTGGAGTTTCCCATTATTAGAGAAAAAAAACAAATATTATATTGTTATAACCTCGTTAGTATTTAATGAATTCTAACACTAATTACTCAACCACTATAAACAAAATAACGCCACCTCCATATCTTGGAAGCAGTTTCTGTGTCAGGTCCGGGGAAATGGTTGGAAACGCCACCTCCATATCTTGGTGCGATTATTGCCAGTGATTTAATGAATTAAGAACTACTTTTCAAAAAAAAAAAAACACTAATTACTCAACCACTATTACCATATACATACACCAGACATATATTTTTAATATTATTTAATATAATTATCATTTAATTAAAATCATGTATAACAATTAGTTTAATTATAGATTATATTTTAATTAAACTAGTCTTTTCTATGCGCAATACCCAATATTTATATTTTAAAAAATAACTAACAACTTTTTACTAGTTAAAATTTAATGAAATAAAATTTATTTATTATATTAATCCAATATATAATGAATATATAATGTTTTACACATATTGTTATCATTAAAGAATATAAGAAAAGATATTGTAGATGCATGTGCATGGTAAAATGGAAAAGATAATGAAAGTTATAACGGTAAGAGTATTTTTGTTCAAAAAATTGTATATTACAACTAACTCTAAAGTTGTATATGTCAAGATTTGTCAAGATTTGTAGCTCCTATGATGTATATGTCAAGATTTGTAGCTCCTATGATGTAACACAGCTGCTTTTCAACCAAGAATCTCCCCCCTTTGAGGAGTTCAGGAAGAGGTTAGTCAATTAAAATTATTGCACTACTATCAGTTACATTTATATTCTATTCTTATCTCTAATTCTTATTTTATGTTCTGTATTACTTATATATTACAGGACGAGTCATGAACAGACTCCAATGCGCAGTATTATATTGCAATCAAGTTTTAAGGAATGTAGTTCATATTCAATTACACTATCTGGTGATATGGAAGTGCGTACTATCAGTGAGATCTACAGGGACAAGGAGGTGGTATTTACATAAATTTGTACTTACTTTAAGAGATATATGCTGGCATCTTCACATTTAGAAAAATTGTCATGTCTGAATGGCATTTGCTGAACTCCCCAGTACACTGGGCACTACAATCTGTAGTCTTATGCCTGCATTTCATATTTTGGATCAGATAAATGGTAACACAAATTGTGGAATGTGATAAAATCTTATAGAGCCTAACATTGGTTGCTTATCTAATTTAAGAATTAGAGACCACCATCTGTTGTGGCAGTTCTGTTTTTTGGTTTTTGCAAGTATATACTCTCTAATAAACCCAAACCTGCAAAATCAGAACTGATATTTGTTAGTTATATAACCTAATGATGATTAATAATTACTGTTAGCTAAAGATTTTCAGAATTATATATTATATTATAGTTGCATCTCTAATTGTATAAAGTTGAATGCAGTTTGGAGATTTCTGGGTTGCAGCTAGGATTGTGTTCATTGATGATCCAGAGTGGTACTATGCTTCGTGTCGAACCAAGGGTTGTAACAAAAAGCTTAAACTGAAAGGGAAGTGGCTGTGGTGTAGTACATGTGACAGAAATTGGGGTGACGGGACACTGAGGTACAGAGTTAAGGTTAGAGTTGTGGACTTGGATGGCAATGCTCCTTTTCTTCTATGGGACAGGGAGTGCCTCGATTTAATTGGAATTAGTGCAGATGATCTGAAGGATACCCATACAAAGGTACTAATACTATTTCATCATGTCCTATACTATTAGCTTAGTACTACTAACTTTGTCATCTCATGAAAAACATTAATATAATGATCCAAATTACTACTAACTTTGTCATCTCATGAAAAACATTAACATACTACTAACTTAGTACTATTATCTTATAAACAGTTATCCAGTTACATCCAAAGTATCCAGATAATTCTCTTTGGACCACCTAAATGAAAAACATTAATATACTATAACTTTCATAAGTATTGTATCTTGTTAACTAATTGAATTACCTGCAGGGAAGAAATGATCTACCTAAGGAGCTTGAAACTCTAATCGGACTGAATCTGTTATTTCGAATTGCTGTGCGTAAGGAACAGTTCCAAAACTATCTCAATGCTTTCCCTGTTATGAGAATCATCACTGATGAAAAGATTGTAGAGAAGCACGCACCAGAGCTAATCCAAGTTAGGGACAGGGACCTCTCATCAAAGTTGAAGTTGGAGCTTACGGACGAGGACCTATGGGATATAGAGGTATACTTGCTGATCCAGAAACAAATTATAAGAATTACTTTATAAACTAAGAGTATTTTACATTTACATTTTGAACATTTGGTTGTGTAGGATATAGACCAAGCAAATGAAGCTGAAAGTCCTCTCCAAGTTGTTGCACAGAGACTGAACGAAGATAACAGTATTGAGAATGGAACCGTGAAGAGATCGCTAATTGATGAGTTTTCTAGCACACAAAGTTCGAAAAAAAGCAATGACAGTGTTGTGAAGATTGAGAAAGAAACAGATTTGTAATGAATTAAATGGCTGACAATGTGCTCTTTTGGTTTTTTTTTTTTTTTTTTTTTTTTTTTGAAGAATGCTTTTTGGTGACATTATTGTGTTTTTCCAACAACAGCTGGATTGAACCTTTTGATATGCAGTATGGTTTTTTTGGTTTAGTACCAAACATGTTAAACGTACTCGATTTGTGATATTCCTATTGCAGATTTTTTTTTTTCAGAAATTGATTGATGGCACAAGCATAGAAAGATTGCAGACATAATGGTAAAAGAATGCAAAGGCTTGTAGACATGGTGGGAAAAGATCAATCAGATGGCAGGCATATCCCTAAAGACCAAACTGATGGCACACAAATCAGTTGAAGTAGCTGAAATCAGCATTCAAAAGGACCATCAAATGGTTTATGTTAGCATGTAATACACCTGACACTTTATAATTATGTAAGATTAAGGAAGATTAGTGTAGGGTACTCATTAGGACCATACAAGTCTTATTTTTGAAAGTTTTTTGTGCTCTAAATATTAATGATTAAATAAGACTATTTTTATTCTGATAACTATTTGTAAAACTTAAAATTATTGGTTATCCCTAAGTCTATACTTTGTTAATTATGTCACTGCTACAGCTGGATACACTCACATGGAAGCATGTTGTCATCCAAAGAAATGTAACTAAACTAATAAAAACTGAATATTAAATTTAGTAGATCATATAAGGCAGCCAAAGTTAGTAGTACTACGCTGCAACTGTAAATCCAAATGTATTTCGTATTAGGATTAAAAAAATACAGTGCAACTGTATTTGATCTCTCAACAATTTGGCAAAGTGTCATAAATTAACAGGCATTCAATTATTTAAAAAATGAATGTGTGATAAAAGCAAAAAAAAGTTCTATCACTTAATCATATTAGATGGACAAATAATAGTAAACAAAATAACAAAGTCACACGTGTATATAAAAAGTAGTCTTATCACTCCACAATATCAACACTAGATTAAGTAAACTATATAATACATTAGTTTTCAATGAAGTACAGTAACAGCTATCAGGGACCTAAAGTTATTGTTGGAAAGTAAAGTAAAAATGTGTTTCCAAGTACGCATAATTGAAAACTAAGGGACTTACCAGTTGTTGACAACAATCTACAGTTGATTATCTCCTCAATGACCTTTTATACAATATAGATTGTGTTGCATCTTACCTGCAGTGGAACCAACAACCGTTAAATTAAAAATACGACTTGCAGCAATTTAATTAGGATCTTAGTGCTTATTAGGCACTTACCAATTGTTGACAACAACTTTGGTGAAAAGCAAGCGTCCTCAATTAATGTTAGGTGAAGACCTTTTGATGTGTAGCTTACCTGCATTTGGAGGATTTGGAATTAACTGAATAACTGCTTTAAAGTACTACTTGGTTAGGAACAATGAAAGGAAATTATTCTGCTTAACTAACATTTGAAATCACATTAGATTGAGCCGATTTTGGATATTAAAACTTATCTTTTAGACGTCAGAAGCAACTGTTAATACAATATTCTGGACTCCAACTTTGTATCTATGAAGCATCCACAAATTATTGTAGATAAATACAATGTAGGTGTACGAGCTTACCTGCAATTGGATAATTACAATTAAACAAATTAAAGCATCATTAACATTAGATAATTTATGAACAGTCAAAGAATATCATTATTCGTGTGTATCTTTAATGTAAATCACATTAGATGGACTTCAAACTTATCTTTAAGGCCCCCGAAGCATGTGTAAATACAACAGTCGCAAACATAGATCTTTATCAAATAAAACCTATCACAACCATGAGTATTTGTGGGCTTGATCCGACTACTGTCTACCTGCAAAACAAAATATATATTATGATATTATGTTAGCTAAATAAGAAACCTATTTACATTCCAATCAAATTTGATAATTACAGTTTAGTATGAAAGCAATTACTAATAATTTCATCTACCTATGTTACTGGACTTCCCTATGCATTGAGTAGCACAACTAAACCTTTGAGTATTCCAAAAGCCATACATCTCCCTAAGAACACATGAGAGATTAAACACCTGTTTTAAACACCACCTAAACAATTCCTTATTCTAACCAATACATCTCCCTAAGAACACATGAGGAAACTTACATCTACAACCACCATTGGTTCGAAGAGGAAGCATCCCAGCAACAACCAAGGTAAATCTATATAAACTTCTATCTTTATTATAGCTATCTGTCTTCCTATATAGATAGAGATTATAAGAAATTTTTGGGTACACTGTAAAAAAAAATAAAAAAAATATACTTATTAAACAACGGATTTCAACTTCTCAGACTCCAAATTAAAAATCATCCTATAAATTCAACGGTTAGCAAAATTCATATGCATGTGTTGTATACTCGGATTACTTCTACTGATTTAATAGATAAACGGTATCAATATCCCTATTTATATATAGATCTAAACAACGTAGATTAATTAGGTTAGAAATACATACCCAGTTTTGTTGTTATTTTCCAAATCGAATAGCTGAACCACCGATTCTGCAAAATGGTCACCGCCTCGAATCGCACACATTTATGTCCACAAATGTCCGATCTCTATGTACCCATGAACTCCGGCGACTATAGTGTTCACCGGATCGAATCAGTGCGTTGATAGTCCAGATCAAACCTCCGATTTGTGGCTGTGACCGTACTATGGACACTCAGACGTCGAGTATGCCGAGAGCTATTTGTCAGTCGATGCTCCACATAAACATCATCTTCATCGTCAATCCATAGTACAGTGTACACGAGACTCAGCAATCGAACCCTAACCCCTTACTCAGCTCCATTTTTAGAGAGAGAAACAACTTGATTGCCCGGCGAAATGAGCTCACAACTGAGCGTTCAAGGGGATTAGGAAAGCGACATCATCGACGGACCATCTCACTGTCATTTCCATTTTACATTATTATTATTATTATTATTATTATTATTATTATTTTTATTTTTATTATTATTATTATTAGTATTAGTATAATTGTTATAGTATTATTAGTCTAAAAGTTTTTGATGATTTCTATTATTAGTATGATTGTTATTATTATTATTTTGGTTATTATTGTTCTTATAAATAACTAGTATTTTCACCCGTGCGATGCGCGGAATGGAATTGTTGTAATATATTAAGAATATTTAAATCGATAAAGAGTTAATTTCACCAGAGGTCGCTTATCTTTCCTGACAATTCCAAATTTAATCCTAGACTATAGTTATTAATTATTACGATTTATTCTATGTTATAATTCTTACGTTAATATTCTTACTATTATTATTAACACTTAATTACTTTTAAATATTATTTTTACCACTTATATTATTATTATTATTATTATTATTATTATTATTATTATTATTATTATTATTATTATTATTATTATTATTATTATTATTAGTTTCTTTTCAAGTTTTGTTAGTATATAATGGCCGTGAGGCACACAATAATAATATAACAATAATTAAATATTCTTGTATTGTATTTCATGAGTCACAATAATAATAATAACAATAATTAAGGGGGGTGTATTCAATCATGACTTTCATAGAGTTTTAAAGACTTTTATGAACTTTAAAAGTTTGGAGGTATTCAATTCAAACTTTTAGAGAGTTTTTAAAAGTCAGGCGGTATTCAATCATGATTTTTAATGAGTCTTTGAAAGTCGTGTGGTATTCGATTAAGACTTTTAGAGAGTCTTTAAAAGTCACGTGGCATTCAAAAAGTTATGAACTTTTGTAGACTTTTTCTTCTCAAATATAAATAGTTGAAATCCAACCATCAACCCCCAGATTTCAAAATTTTCTTTCGAACAACTTTGAATGTTTTCTCTCTCTATTTAAACTATAATTTTTCTCCCAATTTAAACTTTATATACCTATCTAAATTTAATAAAATTATTTTTTTCTTCACTATCCTATATTTTCCTCATACCTAAACTCTACCAATTTTTCTCTCTCTCCTAAACTTTACAATTTCCTCTAAAAATTTGAAATAATATTATTTTTACTTCATTATAGCTTGTTTATATTGATTTTTATTGTTTCTATGAATTTTTTATCCCTAACTTTCTCTAATTCTCCCTAAATACATGAACAAAGCAAATTTTTCATCATCAAATGTTATAGTATATGTTTCATAATATTCATATAAATATTTACATATTTTGATTTTTATTCTTTTTATGTTTATATTCGTAATATATATTTTTCCTTTGTTTAACAACAATTTACTATGAATAGCGAACTACTGTTCGCAACAACAATTTGGGGCTGCAAACAGTAACACTATGTTGTTGTTCGTGGTCTCAAATTGCTATTGCAAATAATAGTTCTTTGCGTGATTCCTAGCAATATATCAAGTATAATTTATATATATATATATATATATATATATATATATATATATATATATATATATATATATATATATATATATATATATATATATTATAAATATTATATTTTTATTTTTTTATTTTATGCAACTTGTAATTATATTTTTAAATATTTTATTTGATCAATTCTTTTATTATAAATTTTATTATTCAATATTGTTATGAATTTCTAATGAAATAATTTTTTTTATGTTTATTAATAATATATATAAATAATTAGCATATAAGTCTCAACATACTATGGATAAAAATAATAATATTGAGAATGTTGATGTGGGTGAAGAATTACATAATAAGAAAATTTTATGATATATTATAAATGTTTTGTAAGAAAATTATAAATCATAAGAATCAAAAGCATTTGAAAGTTTGTAAGGATGTATTCAATTTAGAATTTCAATGACTTTTGTAGACTTTTTAAAATAAAAAGTTGATAAAAGTCTATGAATGTTTTTTATATAAACTTTTATAGAGTCTTATAAAGTTTTAAAAAGTTTTGAACGACTCTATGAAAGTCAATCAAAGTTTATTAAAATCTATCAGTTTAAAAGTCTTTAAGACTCTACAAAAGTCATGATTGAATACACCCCTCTAAATATTCTTCAATTCTAAGATTCTTCTAGGATTTCTATTACCATCATTAATTATTCCCTAATTTATCATAATTAAATAATTTGACCAATTATAAAGAGAGATTATCAAATAATGCACGTGACAATTTTTTAATTAAAAAATTTTAAAATCCATTAATAAAACATAAGGATCTCATAGTTTTTTCTTAGAAACTATTTAACAAAGCATTTTTTATAGAAATTGGTGGGCCAAACCGCCTACGGCAATTTGCGGTAGATAGATTTACAAAAAATACGCGATTTAAAAAAAACATTTGTCCAAAACGGACAACCGAGTCAAAAGTTATGCCTTGCCGAACTTTTGACACACCACAACTTTAACCCAGAATTATTATACGAATGGGAAAGTAGAAGTCAATATATTTTATTGGGAATAGAGATTTTTTAGGAATTGGGCGGAAGTTAAAATTCCAGGATTTTGTTATTATATATAGTGTAGATGTACAAAGAGAATTGTATTACACAATTTTAAAATTTTAGAATAGAATTTTTACCAAGAATTATTGTATGAATAGGAAAGTAGAAATCAATAAATTTTATTGGGAAGAGAGATTTTTTAGGAATTGGGCGGTAAGTTAAAATTCCAGGATTTTGTTATTATATATAGTATAGATGTACAAAGAGAATTGTATTACACTATTTTAAAATTTTAGAATAGAATTTTTACCCAGAATTATTGTACAAATGGGAAAGTAGAAATCAATATATTTTTATTGGGAAGAGAGATTTTTTAGGAATTGGACGGGAAGTTAAAATTCCAGGATTTTGATATTATATATAGTATAGATGTATAAAGAGAATTGTATTACACAATTTTAAAATTTTAGAATAGAATTTTTACCAAGAATTATTGTACGAATGGGAAAGTAGAAATCAATAAATTTTATTGGGAAGAGAGATTTTTTAGGAATTGGTTGGGAAGTTAAAATTCCAGGATTTTGTTATTATATATACTATAGACTATAGACTATAGATAGATATACAAAGGGAATCATATTACACTATTTTAAAATTTTAGAATAGAATTTTTACCCAGAATTATTATATGAATGTGAAAGTAGAAATCAATATATTTTATTGGGAAGAGAGATTTTTTAGGAATTGGGCGGGAAGTTAAAATTACAGGATTTTGTTATTATATATAGTATAGATAGATGTACAAAGAGAATTGTATTACACAATTTGAAAATTTTAGAATAGAATTTTTATCAAGAATTATTGTACGAATGGGAAAGTAGAAATCAATAAATTTTATTGGGAAGAGAGATCTTTTAGGAATTGGGCCGTAAGTTAAAATTCCAGGATTTTGTTATTATATATAGTATAGATGTACAAAGAGAATTGTATTACACTATTTTAAAATTTTAGAATAGAATTTTTACCCAGAATTATTGTACGAATGGGAAAGTAGAAATCAATATATTTTATTGGGAAGAGAGATTTTTTAGGAATTGGGCGGTAAGTTAAAATTCCAGGATTTTGATATTATATATAGTATAGATGTATAAAGAGAATTGTATTACACAATTTTAAAATTTTAGAATAGAATTTTACCCAGAATTATTGTACGAATGGGAAAGTAGAAATCAATAAATTTTATTGGGAAGAGAGATTTTTTAGGAATTGGTTGGGAAGTTAAAATTCCAGGATTTTGTTATTGTATATAGTATAGATGTACAAAGAGAATTGTATTATACAATTTTAAAATTTTAGAATAGAATTTTTACCCAGAATTATTGTACGAATGGGAAAATAAAAATCAATAAATTTTATTGGGAAGAGAGATTTTTTAGGAATTGGGCGGGAAGTTAAAATTCCAGAATTTTGTTATTATATATATATATATATATATATATATTTTTGAAAGTTACTGGCTCTATTACATTGTAGTATCTGTTCATATACTTTCTCAACCTACTGAAACACAAAGAACCAATAATGCCTCCACTGAGGCTCGAACTCATAATCTTCCAAATGGAATTTTGTTATTATATATAGTATAGATGTACAAATAGAATTGTATTACACAATTTTAAAATTTTAGAATATAATTTTTACCCAGAATTATTGTCCGAATGGGAAAGTAGAAATCAATATATTTTATTGGGAAGAGAGATTTTTTAGGAATTGGGCGGGAAGTTAAAATTCCGAGATTTTATTATTATATATAGTATAGATTGTTAGCCAAATATTAATCTCCATCATTAATGTGCTTATTATAAGAACAAATGCGTTCCACTTATGCTATTTAGTAATAAATATAATAAAACTATTACGAAGATTAATAGCATTTTCCTTATTTCTAAAAATTGAGACATTGCTATACAAAAAGATTTGCATTATTATTATATTATTATTAACAGATATGTCATTATATAATATTATCATGACATATTACGAAAAAAATAATGTGATAATATGGTTAAATATAAAATTTGCAATATTGGTTTAAAATTATCGGTATTATTATACAGTACAATAGTGACATCATTTACGAACTCTTATTGTATAATTACAGTATAATTTGTTATTATTGTCAAAAATTGATCCAACGAACAATTTATGATATTTGATATACATATGTGTTTAGGCTGCAGCGAATGAGAATAGTAATATCATTGATGCAGCCTACATGTCGCCAATTGAATCCAGTCGGAATGCAGGCAATAGTAAACCGCTTATTAGTGTTTTCCAAAGTTCGCTAAGTACGCCATTAAGTATTGTTACAAATGGTAAGTTTGGCCTTTAACACAATGTATGTCCTTAGTGAATAAGTTGTTAATATATACTTCATATTGTAATTCACAGCTTCAAGCGTAATTAGTACGACAATTCGGAATACACCGCTGCAAGAGTTGAGTTTCAGAATACCGTTAAGCAACATATCAAATAGTACGAATCTCAACCATTACTTTTCGCGTTCAGTTTTGTAGATGAAAAAAATGGAATTAGTAAAATGCTATACTTAACATTCTAACATCTGTTTTGTGTGGCTTTTATACAATTAAAGCAAATTGCGCTCGAGATGAGGGGGATCGTGATAAACCACTTAGTACAAAGCGCCGCAATCGTTCGTTCGACTTAAATAGATCACCGGATTCACAACTAGGTATAAATTGTTAATTCAATAATGTACTTATTACTTATATTAAAATAAAACCCTTGAGTTAGGTTTTTTGTAAGGATCTTTCTTATTTATTTGTTAATAATAGTCGTTGTTTCTGCATTTTGACAGTTTCTTCTCCGATACGAAGGACAATATATACTACATCAACGCAAAATTTGAGTAGCTGAATGCCGTTTAGCAACGTAGCAAATAGTATGAACTTCAACAAATATAAATATTGTCATAAGAGTATATAGTCAAATCGTTTACTTATTAGTCTAACAAACTTTGTCTAAAATATCTTTTTCATTATAGCAAATTGCGGTACGGTCAATGAGGACCACGGCAAAACGCCTACCTGTAACCGTCAAACTTGCACCTTCGACTTAAACCGAACACCAAATTCGCACCTAGGTATAAATATATGTCGAGGGATAGAAGGATAGATTTTTAAATTTAGGCAGTTATAATGTTTAAGTAAATATGTAATCATTTCGACTTTGTATTTCATATTGTTTTTTTAGGGTTTGAAAGTAATTGTTGTATTACAAATGACAATAATATGCAAATAGTCGTTGTAGAGCCGGAGAGTCAACCCATCGAGCATTGCCGAAATTTGATGCATGATTTTCAGGAAGTTGTTGAACCGTTACATGACAATATGCCCTCAAATAATGGTGACCAGAACGTATTCTCTTTGTATTAAGGGACTATCTTACATTATTATTTTACATACGAACTAATACATTTTTTCTTTTGACTAGGTTATTATTTTGATATTGGTGATCCAGATTATGTTTGCGAGCATTGTAATTCGTTTTTTTGGTACAATGAACGGTCAAGCAATTCCAGGGGCTCTGAAAATCCAAAATACTCTGCATGTTGTGTCAATGGGAAGATAAAGTTGCCATTAATGAGAAAGCCTCCTCAGAAATTGCATGACCTATTCTTTACAACCAGTGATAAAAACAAATGTTTTTTAAAGAATATAAGGTCCTACAACAACATGTTCTGCTTCACGTCCATGGGTGGGAAAATTGATAGAACTATTAACAACGGAACATCACCGTCTATATTCCGTATTAATGGTCAAAATTTTCATCGCATTGGGAGCTTAGCCCCTTCAGTTGGCATTCAACCTAAATTTTCCCAATTATACATTCACGATACAGAAAATGAGATAGAAAATCGATTCAACTCTTTGAGGTATACTGTTTTGTGTTAATAAAATATATTTTAGTTAGATCATGGCTGAATACGGAATATCTAATATTTTATATTCTTCGTTATTTAGGGCGAAAAACAATGGTTCTACATTGCATGTTGAGGTAGTACACGACATTAAGCAAACGCTAGATGAACACAATGTGTTGGTTAAGTCATTCCGAATGGCCAAGTCGTTTATTGAATCTAATCCTCAAACTCATATAAGAATGAGATTAATAGGGAAGAGGACCAAAGATGCCAGAACTTATGCGCTTCCAACTACTTCCGAGGTTGCCGCTCTCATTGTTGGAGATATAGACCCTTACATGGGACAGCGTGATATTATTGTCGAGTCTAGATCTGGAGTCCTCAAACGAATAAGTGAATTAAACCCAGCTTATTTACCATTGCAATACCCAATATTATTTCCATATGGAGAGGATGGTTTCAGGGAAGATATACAGTTTGCTACAAGACTTTTCAAGAAAGAGTGTTTCACAAAGAGAGTACTTTGCGTTCCGTATACACGAAAGATCAAATGAGATCTCAACTATAATGTATGCTAAAAGGTTATTCCAGCAATTCTTGGTTGATGCATATACTATGGTTGAATCTTCGAGGTTACTCTATATTCGGTTAAATCAAAAAGCTTTGAGGTGTGAGGCGTACAAAGGTCTCTCTGATGCGCTGACGCGAGGTGAAGTTCAACCTAGTTCTCAAGGTAAAAGAATAATATTACCTTCAAGTTTCACTGGAGGAGCAAGGTACATGATACAAAACTACTAAGACGCCATGGCAATTTGCAGATTTATAGGTTATCCCAATCTTTTTATTACATTTACATGTAATCCTAAATGGCCTGAGATAGAACGCTTCTTGGAGAAAAGAAACTTGAAAGCTGAAGACCGCCCGGACATTGTTTGCCGTGTTTTCAAAATGAAGCTAGACTGTTTAATAAAAGAAATAAAAAATAGGAAACTATTTGGTCGCGTAAAGGCAGGTGTGTAACATATTCCATACGAAGTGTTTTTTTCGCTTAATAATTAATATAGTAACCTTATAACTGACAATATCAATACATGATTGAAAGTTATATACACAATTGAGTTCTAGAAACGTGGTCTTCCGCATGTTCACATATTACTGTTTCTGCAAGCCAATAGTGAGTTTGCAGACCCGGCCTTTATGGACACGATCATTTCAGCCGAGATCCCCGACAAGGTGACAGAGAATGAATACTACAAACATGTTGGAGAATTCATGTTGCACGGCCCGTGTGGTGCTGCCAGGATTAAATCACCGTGCATGGCAAATGGCAAGTGTTCAAAGCATTTTCCAAAAAGATACATTGATGCATCGCATTTTGACCAAGATGGTTACCCGTTGTATCGAAGGAGGGATGATAAGATGATAATAAAAAAAATGGAATAGAGTTGGTTAATAGATATGTTGTACCACATAATCGGTACTTGCTCTTGAAATACAAATCACATATTAATGTTGAGTGGTGTAACCAATCCAGGTCAATCAAGTACTTATTCAAGTATGTAAACAAGGGCAACGACCGGGTCACTGCTGAGTTTTATAAGGCTACGATCGATGGAGCTGGTAACGAGATTGTGGATGAGATAAACATGTACTATGATTGCAGATACGTATCTGCATGTGAGGCAACATGGAGGTTGTTTAGTTTTGAAGTACAGTACAGAACTCCCCCGGTTGAGCGATTAAGCTTTCACTTGCCGGACTGCCAATCAGTTGTTTTCCAAGACGATGATACGATTGATAATGTCCTCAATAGGGAAACCGTTGGGCAAAGTATGTTTAATGCATGGTTTGTAGCCAATCAGAATTTCAAAGAAGCGAGTTTACTGACGTACATCGAGATGCCTACCAAATTTGTGTGGAAGAAGGACATCCGTGAATGGCATCCAAGAAAGAAGGGTTCCTCAATTGGTAGAATATTCTATGTACCTCCAGCTTCAGGGGAAATATATTATTTGAGGCGTCTATTGAACATAGTCCATGGTTCAACAAGTTACAAAGATATTAGGATAGTTAACGGTGTTGAGTACTTAACCTTTAGAGATGCGTGTTATGCTCATGGATAGCTAGACGATGATAAAGAGTACATTGATGTTATAAATGAAGCAAGCTATTGGTCCAATGCGCATTCATTGAAGAAGCTATTTGTTGTTTTACTAACATCATCATCAATCATTAGACCCGAAAATGTTTGGAATCAAGTGTGGAAACATTTGTCTGAAGATGCTCAACACTATCAAATGAGAGTATTAAAACAACAAGGTAATGTTACTTCTTTAGTATACAATAAAGTTTTCAACATTTTTACTAGATTATACTTATAACTATTTTGATGTTGTTATTGTAACAGATTTGTTCTTAACAGAGGAAGAGAAAAAAAAACTTTGCATTAATTGAACTGGAAAACCTGTTGGGTCAACAAAACAAGTCTTTAAAAGACTACCCCCCAATGCCAACACCAAGTACTGATAATTCACTGTTGTTTCAAAATCGATTGGTTTTTGAAGAGTTGTCTTACGATTCGGAACAGTTGAAGACAGATTCTGAGGTCCTTTGTGCCAAACTAACTGAAGAACAGGGTCTCATATATGATACTGTTATCCAAGATATTGAGAACAAGAAGGGTGGCTTATTTTTTGTTTATGGTTACGGTGAAACAAGAAAGACTTTCCTGTGGAGAGCTTTATCAGCTGCAGTCAGATGCAAAGGCCAAATCGTTTTAAATGTCGCTTCAAGTGGCATAGCTTCTTTGTTGTTACCAGGTGGCCGGACTGCACACTCGAGATTTGCAATACCTATTGCAATAAATGAGGACTCTACCTGTAACATTAAGCAAGGTAGCGACTTGGCTGAATTGCTGATCAAGACGAGCTTGATAATTTGGGATGAAGCTCCCATGATGCACAAACATTGCTTTGAAGCTTTAGATAGAATCATGCGGGATTTGTTGCGTTTTGTAGACCCTAATAGTGAAATGAAGACGTTTGGTGGTAAAACAGTTGTTCTGGGTGGAGATTTCCGCCAAATTCTTCCAGTAGTTCCCAAAGGTACACGGCAAGACATTGTTTCTTCAGCAATCAATTCATCATACCTATGGGATAGTTGCAAAGTGTTAAGGTTGACTAAAAACCTCAGGCTCAGCTCGGTACCAAATGGTGGAAACCGACAGGCGTTACAAGAGTTTGCTGACTGGATTGCCAATATCGGCGATGGGAAGCTTGGTGGGCGGAATAATGGGTTTGCAGATGTTGAAATACCAATGCACATGTTAGTATCATCCGGGGGTGGGACGACATTAAAGCAATTGTGCACAGTACATTTCCTATTTTTGCAAGTGGAAACACTGACCCCGAGCACCTGTTGGGTTGTGCAATATTAGCACCAACGCTGTTAATGACTATATGACTGAGTTGCACAATGCCAAAAGTAGGTCATACTATAGTTCAGACGCAGTATGCAAAGCCGATGGCGATAACGGTATATTTGGAGACGTACACACACTGAAGTTTCTAAATAGCATTCGGGTTTCAGGTCTACCAAATCATACACTGACTTTGAAAATCGGATCACCAGTAATGTTAATGAGAAATATTGACCATTCTCTTGGTTTGTGCATTGGAACTCGGTTGATAATCACAAAGCTAGCAGATCATGTGATTGAAGGCGAGATTCTGACTGGTCCCAACAAAGGTACAAAAGTGTTAATCCCCCGAATGTCAATGGCACCCTCGGATCCGAGATTGCCGTTCAAGTTTCAACGAAGACAATTCCCATTGATGCTTTCATATGCGATGACCATAAACAAAAGTCAAGGCCAAACGTTGACTTATGTAGGTTTAGTACTAAAGAAACCGGTTTTTGTACACGGTCAGTTGTACGTAGCTGCATCTCGGGTTAATAATCCAGACGGTCTCAAAATATTGATAGCAAAAGACTCAAGTTCAACTACAACCTCAACCACTAATGTTGTATATCATGAAGTTTTCAATAATTTGTAGTTTTCTAATGTATTATTTTTATATTACTATCACCTTTCTACTATTTCTAACATACCATTTTCAGTTGGTTTTTGTTGAGCTCCCAAATATACTTAATGATTATATTCCAAATTCTTACTGTATTGCCTCAACCAATTTTTAACATAACATAAACATAATTAATAATATGTAATTTACATCCCGTGCATCGCACGGGTCAAACACTAGTTACAACTAACTCTAAAAGCACACTTTGTATAAAATGGTTAGCATTAAAAACGTGGACATAAATGAGGGATATAAGTTTGATTGAAACTTATTATGTTTTTAGATTGGATATCTATCAATGATGAATCAATCATATGTCATGTGTGTGTAATTAAGACATTTATTCTTTGTATATATATCTAAAAACATAATAAGTGTGGATGAAGGTTATACCCTTCATTTATGTCCATTTTTTCCGTTAAGTTTTATGATACATTATGCTATAAATGTTGTACTATACAATATTTTGGACAAACATACCCCTACCGTTATATGGGCACTAGTACATACCATCTGTGGATCTCCAAGCGATTACCCAAGGCATTCAATATGTAGCGGCGGCGAACCCAATTGGTGGCAAGGATTCAAGGTCAAATGCCCTAGGGACCCGTGCAAGAGGATGAAGTGATATCGCCGCAGCAAGAGAGGACCTAGCGTCGCGATGCGACCCAAGCTACCGGAGGTGAAGGGCCAAGGAGAAGGAGTTCAAGGAGACGGCTCTATTGGACATCGGCCAACCACTTCCATGCTCGTCTTGGAGTGGTTGGGCGATAGGGTGTCTATCTGGCAGAGGTTAGGGTCACAGCCATGGGCCGAGGGGTCATCCACCAAGGGGCCGCACCAGGATAGAACTAGGACAATGGGTGAGGGAGACCAGCCGCCACAGTTAGAAAGGGTGGGTGAGTCGAGGGCCGACTCCTCGTCAGTCCACTATGCAAAAGCGAACACCAAACGTACATGAAGAGGTGGTGGAGCGGCTGCAGAGGAAAATAGATGAGTTAGAGAAGAAAATGGAGGCAAGGGAGCAATTGCCGGAGCACGAGGTAAGGATGGCCGCACTATTTACCCCGAGTATAATGGACACACCTGTTCCTAAAGATTTTAGGCTCTCAGCCATCAAAGCCTACACTAGAACCTCCGACCCGCATACCGACATGACAATGTATAAGTAGGACTATTAGCGAACAGAGCTTTCGATAAACTACTCGTGTCTGTGATAAGTGTTGGAAAAATAGCATAAAATGACATTTTAAGTGGCTATTTTATGGTACAAATATTAGTCGGGTCCATTTCCGATTTGGGTCGGGTCAAAGTGGATTCGGGTTCTTCATAGTGAGATGAAGAGATTGATATATTGTACGCTCAAAATGAATAATGGGTAAATGAGAAATTGATTCTCAAAGTAGACCCATTTGAGTTGGAAAAAGAATGTGGAAAAGTTTTAAAGAAGCTCTTGTCCCACATTGGCTTGGGAAGTGGATTTGCACCACTATTTATACAAGAGCCTTTCTAAAACTTATTAAATTATATAGCATATAGGTTTTTTCTCATGCGTACGGGGTGCAAATCATGATTAAATAAATACCGTTATTTTGTTTAATGATTAAAAATAGGAGTGGAAAGGAAGTCTTTCTTCTTTAATTTGGTCTTGATGTGAAGTAAAATATGTTAAACCACTCAGAAAATTCCTAACATTTTCAATGCTTTGTTCACATCAATTGACTCGGGAATATACACTCAAATTCAACACTCAACTTGTAATAGCCTAACTTATTAGATATCTTTCTTCATCGTGTTCTTATTCTTAACAACTTTTACATTTGTATTTGAAAATTACTAAATAAAAAGCAGGGGAATCTTATTTTTGGTCAAACGTCAAAAAACATTTTTTGTTTCCAAGAATAATGGTAGGAATATGTGTTACCTAATTCAAAAAAATTTCCCCCACGCGGCTTGACTAACTCTTCTGTTTCTTTAACAAGATTTCCTTTTCCTATTGTGTAGTTTTATGGGATTGAATTAACATCTGAATTATTTATTATATAAAATTTTATCCAACCAATTGTTTTATTTACCAAATTCGAACCAATTCAAGGTCTTATTAAAAAAGAATTTAAAATTTTTCATCAAGATAAGAGGTATTAGTTCAACTAAAATGTATTTGAGTCATTTAAGCTATAATAACACCCTCCGAAGAGCCGTCTCTGAATTAGGCTTCAGCGAGGCTCAACTAGATTAGTCTTACCATACATGCAAATCCAATGTGTTATGCAAAATCTCTGATTTAAAAAAAAAAATTAGTATTATTATTATTATTATTATTATTATTATTATTATTATTATTATTATTATTATTTATTGGTTCCTTTTATTGGGTAGAGGCTTAGAGGACACTAAGTCCAATATCCTACAATCTTTGAGCATTTGATACGCATCTTGTCACCTTTCAGATATTTGATACTCGAGATTAGCTATGCTATATAAATATAAGAAAATAAATTTACGTTTTTATACTAGTTATAACTTTTGATGTAATAGTAGTAACGATTAGATCCCAACTGTATTAATTCTCTATTTGTTTTAAGTGAAAATTCCATCTAATTTAAAAGAATTATCAAACTATCAACAATTTTAGTTCACGTGAAAGAAACCTTAGTTTACCTTAAGTATGATCCCAACTTCAAAGTTTTCAAATCAACCTATAAGTATTAAGAAAATTCTTTTAAACAAGATAAAAATTGGAATTCAAAATCTAAATACAAAGAAAAAAAAATTGTTCTTGCTACCCAAGTATCATGGTAGTTTTGGAAGAATATTTTTATGAAAAGATGTGGTCCCAAGTTGTATAATTTCTTAATTTGTTTCATATAGTGGCAATATAATGTCGGACTTATTTTATGGCTATATATTGATGTTCTCACTAATAATTGTACTTAATTTTCTTATGATTCCGGTCTTGTCTCACCTCCAAAAGCCTCATGATTGGTTCAACATCCTTTCCGCTCATTTTCCCTCCGAAGACAAGTGTTTCTATGTATATTCCTATATTATTTTAGTCAATAATTGTCATCATCATTAGGAATTATAATTATGCTAATTGAAAATATCGACCTTAATTTATTCCCCACTACGTGCAAGCAGTTACCTAGAAAAGTTGAATGCTTCATAATCCTAATTAGATAATGTAATTTGCACCAAAACTTCATATAAAAATTAATCCTAGTGGCTCTAAAAGGGGTGATTAAGTGGACGATGATTTTGTACATAAAGGTCACAATTCGATCGATTCCTACCAAAATCATCTCGATCAAATCATCGCACACGATTTTTCTAGTATAGTTTACTACTCATGTGTGGTTTGTGGGCTATTACATAGGAGCGAGTTTTACTCAGTGCACATATTCACGTAGTGTCTGTGAGTTTCGCTCGTTGTCCCCAAAAGAAACAAATTCTGATGTGGTTTACCTCTCTAGTATGGTTTGAGTGACACTACACAGGAGTGAGGTTTATCCAATGGACATCCTTGAGTACTGGTTGAGGTTTCTCTCGTCACCAAAAAAAAAATAAAAAAATTGTTAACATGATTTTATTTTGATTAATTTATTATAGAGAAAATGATCATTTTGATCTCTCAATTATTAGTTGTTGATTGTTGGTGGTGAATAATTCGATATAATATAATATATAAATATAAATATATAAATAAATAAATAAATAAATAAATAAATATATATATATATATATATATATATATATATATATATATATATATATATATATATATATATATATATATATATATATATATATATATATGGAAGGGATCAGGTGCGGGTGGTGCTTCCCGTGTGATTGTGTGGGTGGACTCACATTAAACATTACACTGACGTATTTTAAGTACACAACAGACACACATTTAACACACAAAAAAAAATACATTCAGAACACAAATTCATGCACCTTAAGTACAAAACTCACGCTTCTTAAGCACAACCCTCACGCACATTAAGCACAAAACTCACGCACATTAAGCACAAAAACACACACACCTTAAGTTTTAACAACAACTCAAATTAAGTACACATTCACACACATTAAGTACAAAACTCACGCACCTTAAGCACAAGACCCACGCATCTTGAGCACAAAACTCACGCACATTAAGCACAAAACTCATGCACTTTAAAGTTTCAACAACAACTCACATTAAGTACACACCAACGCACATTAAGCACACAACTCACGCACCTTAGGCACAAGACCCACGCACCTTAAGTACAAAACTCATGCACATTGTTCCTTTTATGAAAGTGTTGGCAGAATTTTCTCGTAGGAAAGCAACTTTGAGAGAGGAAGAGAGAAAATAATGATTTTGAGAGTTCAAACTAAAAGCTCGGCGAACTTGAACAACAGGCGAACACTTCGTTCTTTTTATGGATGTATTGGCAAAATTTTCTCATAGGAAAACAATTTTGAGAGAGGAAGAGAGAATGAAAGCAAAGATTTTGAAAGTTCAAAATTAGCGGCAAGGCTTTTCAACCTCATTTTGGGACATCTCTGCGCGCGAGAGAACCTCTATACTATACAATTAAATATCTCTCTAAAAAGGTATATATAGTGGTGCAATATATCAATATGTTCGTCTCACATATTTTTGTACCATAAAATATGCACTTAAATGTCATTTTTAAGCTAAAAATTTCAACATTAGTATATTAGGTTTAATATTTCAACCTCCGAATCAATTATATGTACTTCCAGATTTAGTTTTGCAAATATTAACGTAATGATGACATTTTTTTCTATCAAAACTAAACATATTATGGGGGTGTTTGGTTAGCATGAATTGGTTTGGAATTGAATTGCAATTCAATGAAATGATAAACTACATTGTTTGGTTGAAGGGAATTGCAAAGTTTCTTCGTCTTCGGCGAGGACGTGTATTTTTTTTTTTTAATTTTAAATAATTATTT